AAAGGAGGTAAGAGAGGTGACAGACAAGCAGGGAGGGAAGAAAAACAACGAACTTGGAAAAAAGTCACCAGGAAGGATAACAGTTGTTGTTGTTAAGTGTCATTGAGTCTGCTCTGACCCATTGAAACCCTGTATAGGGTTTCTAAGGAGTGGCTACCGAGCCTGAACTATGACCTTGAGGTTCAAATTGACTTTACTTTAAAAGACTAGGAATAATGCCTTTTTTCACCCATCAAACAAGAAAACTTTAACATTCAGAAGGTACTGGCTAAGGCACAAAGAAAAGTCTTAATCTCAGTAGTGAGGAATATTTAGTCATAAACTGAGTACTGATTTGAATCCAAGATAAGCACGGGATTAAAAGGCGGGTTTGAACCACAAGATCAGTAGATGAAATTCACCAGCTGTTCCTCAAAAACCCTATACAGAATCATTAAGAGTCGGTACTGACTCCACAGCACTTAACCACCACCTCCAAGAAATGCTAAAAGGAAGACCATTCAAGAATTAAACTATTTTCAAATAACTTAAATGCATACCAGTACAAAGAACAAAGGAGTTCTAGTGGCATATGGTTAAAAACACTGTTGCTAACCCTAATATTGGCAGTTCAAACCCACCAGAGGCTCTGCAAAAGAAAGGTCCGGTAATTTGCTTCCGTAAAGATTACTGCCAAGAAAACCCTATGAGGCAGTTAAACATTGTTACATGGATTTGTTATTAGTTGAAATTGACTGGACAGCACACAACAACAGGAAGATTAATAATATAAACACAAATAGAGACAAAGAGGATAGATAGATAAACAGACAGATAGATACATACATATATACATAAATAAATACATAGATAGATAATATATATTTCCAGCACCAATAAGGTAAAATTCAACATGCTGGCATCCTCATACAATTACCAGATATGCAAAAAATAAGAAACAAGAAAATGTCAACCATAATGGGGAGAAAAATCATTCAACTGAAACCCAGAACTGGTACAGGTAATAGAATTACCAGTCAAGGACATCAAAAATAGCTATTAAAATTGCATTTCGTTTCAGAATCTTTGTTATAACACTAAAAGCATGAGCACCAAAAGACAAAATAAATAAACTGGTCTTCAATAAAATTAGTATTTGTACATGAAAGGGCTTTACAAAGAAAGTACAGAGACAATACTTGAGAACTATGTATCTGATGTGGTTCTGTGGGATAAGCTCTGTAACTTCTTATCACAAGTTCCAAATTTCAAACCCACCAGCCGCTCCTTGCAAACCCTACTATACAGGGTCATTATGAAAAGGAGCTCTGGTAGTGTAGTGGTTACCAGTTGGGCTGCTAATCTCACGGTCAGCAGTTCGAAACTACCAGCTGTTCTGCAGGAGAAGGTTGAGGCTTTCTGCTCCCGTACAGATTTACAGCCTTGGAAACCCTGTACAGGGTCGCTATGAGTCAGAACCAACTCCATGGCACACAACAACATGAATAGGAACTGAATCAAAGATACTTAATGACAACAACAATTAACATCCAAAATATAAAAGAACTACTACAACTGAATAGGAACAGTGAAAAACAGCCCAAATAAAAAAAAAAAGAAAAAGGACAAAAGATTTGAATAGAAATTTCTCCAATGATATGTAAAAAGCCAGTAAGCACATGAAAAGATGTTCAATATAGTTCGTAATAAGGGGAATGCAATCCCAAACCACAACATAATACCACTTTACCCTCACTGCTGGTGGTTTTATGACTTGCTCCCGAAGCTATAAATTCTGAGTGACTCTGTATAGGGTTTCTGAGGCTATAAACTTTATGGAAGCAGAAAGCCTCATCTTTTTCTCGAGGAGCAGCTGATAGATTTGAACTGCTGGCCTTGCAGTTAACAGTCCAACTTGTAACCTACTATGCTACCAGAGCTTCTTTTTACTCCCAAGAAGTGTTATTTTCCATTTCTCTGATAATAGTCAATCTTAAGATAATTATCAGAGAAATGGAGAATAATACTTTTTGGAAGCTTGTGGAGAAATTTGAGCCATTCTGTATTGCTCATTCTGTATTCATTGTGGTTATGAATTGGACTGCTAACCTCAAGGTCGGCAGTTTGAAACTAGCAGCCATTCTGCAGGTGAAAGATGAGGCTTTCTGCTCCCATAAAGATTTACAATCTCGGAAACCCTGTGCAAGGTCACTATGAGTTGGAAATGACTCCATGGTACTTAACAACGATAACATGTGAAATCATACAGACATTTTAGAAAAACGTTTGGCAGTTCCTCAAAAAGTTAAATATAGAGTTATTGTGCTCTTGTTAAGTACCATTGAGTCATTTCTGACACATAGTGAATCTGTATAGGATTTCTGAGGAACAGCTGTTGGATTTGAACTTCTACCCTTGGGGTTAGAATTCCAGTTCTTATCCTACAGCGCTACACTCCCACAACTCCACTCCTAGTTATATATCCCAAAAATCTGAATAGTAGGGACTCAAGCAGATACTTGGGAATCCTGGTGTGGCTCAGTGGGTTGGTTAATGCACCAGACTGCAAACAGTTTGAACTGCAAGATGGGAGGTTCAAGATCATCAGCCGCTCTTCGGAAACCCTATACAGGGTCGCTATGGGTTGGAACCGACTCGACGGCACTTAACAACAACAACAAGCAGATACTTGTACTCCAGTGTTCATTGCATCATTATTCACAGTAGTCAAACAGTAGGAACAACCCAAATGTCCAACAACCAATGAATGGTACGTACATACAATGGAAATAATTCAACCATTAAGAGAAATGTTCTGATACATGTACAGGTGAACCTTGAAAACATTCTGCTGAGTGAAGTAAATCAGATATCAAAGAGCAAACATTACAATTATTGTTGTTGTTGTTACTAAGTGCTGTCTTGTTGGTTCTGACTCAGCAACTCTGTATAGGGTTTCCAAGGAATGGCCGGTGGGTTTGAACGACCTTGCAGTTCAAACTGACCTTATCTGACAGTGCCATACCAGAACTCCAAATATTGTATAATATTATTTATATAAAATACTTAGATTAAGCACATGCATAAATACAAAAGTTTATGAGTAGTTGGAAGAATGCAGATTAAGCACTGGACTGCTAATTACAAAGCTAGCAGTTTAAATCCACCAGACGTTCCTCAGGAAGAAAATGAGGCTATGAGGTGAAAGTGACTTGAAGGCACCTAAGAACAAGTAGGGGTTGAAATTGAGGGGGAAATGAAGAGTTGCTTTTATGGAGCACTGTTTTTCTATTTATAAATAAAAAAAAAAACATTTATAAATAGATGCACAAATGTTGAATGCATTTCATGTCACTGAATTATATACATAAAATTGATTGACAAGGCAAATGCTTAGTTATATATATATTTACCACTGTAAAAATTTTAGAAGTTGTATACCATTTGTTTTAAAATAGACCTCTAAGATATAAAAAAAAGGCCCAAATTGAACTTTATAGATAACTTATAGGAAGTCAGGTGAAAAAAACACACTAGAGAGGATAAATAGTTTAGATATTGAAGAAGAAAAGATAGAAACTATTCCAAACAAAATATATAGATAAAAGATAATTCCAACAAACAAAATAACCAAATAGAGAATCAGTAAAATGAGCTGCAAGGTAGGTGGTTTAAACTCATCAACCTCTCCTTGGAAATCCTATCCAAGGTAGCTACGAGTCCAAAAAGACTAAAGGGCACTTGACAACAACAAACCATCAAGTAGCTTAATTTACATGAAATTCTAGTTTCCTAAGAAGAGGAGAAAGAGAGGAAAGGAAAGCTTTTTGGATTTTATTGGATAAAGCCTTCTTAGATATAACACCAAAAGCATGATTCATTAAAAACACACACACATACAAACTGATATGTTGTTGTTTTTAAGTGCCGTCAAGTCGGTTCTGACCCATAGCGACCCTGTACAGGGTTTTCAAGGCCGTAAATCTTTACAGGAGCAGAAAGCCCCATCTTTCTCCAGCAGAGTGGCTGGTAGTTTTGAACTGCTGACCTTAAGGTTCGCAGCCCAATTCGTAACCACTACGCTACCAGAGCTCCTTAAACTGATATATTGGGCCTCATCAAAATGTCTTAAAATTCTTTTTTCAAAAGATGATCTGTTATTAAAAGAATGAAAAGACAAGTTGAAAACTGGAAGAAAATATTTGCAAAGTATATATCTGACAAAGGTCTTGTATCTAGGATACATAAAGAACACTTGAAAATCAAAAATAAGAAAAATACTAAAACTTTGAAATTAGAATCAGGCCTCCATTTTGGTTCTCACCCATTATTTGGTCTGGGATAAACACCAACCTCTCTGTGTTCCTTTTTTCTTATTTACAAATTGACTCAAAGGATCTCTGACTTGCCCCTTTCAGGGAATTGCTAAAAGGATTTGAAAGATAACACTCCTATGTAAAAGTGTTTTACAAAATTGTTAAAGCTTCACAAGCACTTGAACTTGTTATACCAAGTTTGACTTCCAGGATAAAATAGATGCAATTTAGAATACAGACACTGTCCAATATCAGGAGGCTGAGGCTAAACCTTCAGCTTTGCTACAGTGTAGCTGTGTGATTTTCTTACAAAGCCAGCACTCGGCCAGGTATCAATTGTTTACCTGTAGTGTGAAAAATTCAAATGATATTTTCAAAAGTATGCGCTTCTTGGGGAATAGCAGAGATTGTGGCAAACACATTTTTCCTTCATATTTTTAATTTCAGTGCTCTGAGTGTTTAAAATCAGAGGCTGCGCAGCTGTTCCTGAGGCCACATGTTCATCTTTAGAGACTTTTAATCATGCATTATCGGGGGTAGTCAGGGAAGAAACCAACTTAAAGAGCTTAATTAAATGATAAATGTGTGTCAAAGTAACTTGGATCAAATTTCATTTGCTTTTAATTTAAGAATAAAGTGATCTTTCATGTCTGTTAGACTTTTTGGTGCACTTCAAATACAGATTATAAAACCCATTATCCATACCTGGAAAGGCTGTATGCTGGAAATGGTGAGATGCTTCCTTATCCATCTGTTGCCTTGATTCCCAAATATCTGCCATAGCAGCTGGCCCCTTGTGTTACTCCAGACTCGCTGGTAGATGGCCAGTCTATAAATGTGCTTCCCGAACATGTGGTAATGGAAGCGGAAAGTACAGATGCTTGTAGCAGTGACATTAAGGACCGGACTGAGTAAGGCAGCCCTGTTTTGGAACACTTGTGGCTCTGAGGATTCGATGTAGAGATAGTGTCCTTTAGCTGTGCCCACAGTATTATCCTTCATTGGCCCCGTATTAAGTGTTGAAGTGGGACCCTGGTTCCTGATCCAATCAAAGTCATCGTCTGTATCTTGTTCCCAGTTACAAATTCCAGTTTCAAAGTTACACTGTAGTTCTGGTGCTGAAAAATACCACAAAATATTTGCAAAATTGGCATTAAATAATTGGTAGTCATAATTAAAATATTATTAAAGTTGATACTTTTCTCATGCCAAGGCACGTCATTTTGATTTTCGAAGTGTTGCATTACAACATTTTTAAAATGAGTGAATAAATTCTTGATAATGTACAAGTATTAAGTAACAATCACTTTATGAACTGAAGATAAAATTGCTTTGGCTACTATTTCCCAAATGCCCCTTATGTCCAGCTCTTCTGCATTTCTAGCTCTCTACATGTACTGCCATAACTCTAGGCAAATAATCATGATCCCATAGCTGACTCATTGTACCAACTTACTGGTTTAGTGGATTTCAACAGTGGCAGAATATTACAATCACCAGGAAGTACTTAAAACCACCAAAGCCATGAATTCATCTCCAGAGATGTTGACTTAAATTAGTCCAAGAGGTGAGATGTGCATCAGAATTTAATATGAGCTCCCTTTGTTGTTATTAAGCACCTCTGAATCAGTTCTGACTCATTGTAACTGAGCATATGGGCTCGTGGTGGGTTTCCAGTAGGTTTGAGGGGCCAACATTTTGGTTAGCAGTCCAGTGCTTATTCTAGAGTGCCACAAAGAGGCCCCTTTGCTTTTGCTGTTCTTACCAGGTGCCAATGAGTCAGTTCTGAATCACAGCATCCCTATGTACAACAGAACAAACCACTGCCTAGTCTTGGGCCATCCCCACAACTATTGTCACGCTTGAGCCCATTGCTACTACCACTGTGATATTAATGATTTTCTCTGATGATTTATATATTATGTTGGGTCACCTCTCTTTGGAATAGGCACAAATATGGATCCCTTCCAATCCATTGGCCAGGTATTTGTCTTCCAAATTTCTTGGCATAAATGAGTTAGTGCCTCCAATGCTTCATCAGTTTGTTGAAAGATTTCAATTTCTATATTCCCTCAATTCCTAGAGCCTTGTTCTATGCCAATGCCTTGGTTTAATTTTCTTCAATCTAAGCTTAAACTTACATATGAGCAACTGATGATCCGTTCCACAGTATATTCCTGGCCTTGTTTTGGCTGATAATATGGGTTTTTTTTCCCCCGCCATCTCTTCCCACAGGTGTAGTCAACTTGATTTCTGCGTAATCAATGTGGTAAAGTCCATGTGTACAGTCATCTTTTATGTTGTTTTTAAAAAGGTGTTTACAATGAATAAATTTTTGGTCTTGCAAAATTTTATTATACTGTTTCCAGCATCATTTTTATTACCAATGCCATATTTCCCAACTACTGATCCTTCATTGTTTCCAATCTTCCCAGTCCAATCACCAGTAATATCAATACAGCTTGATTGGATGTTTGATCAGTTTCAAACTGAAGATGTTAGCAGAATTCTTCAGTTTCATCATCAATGGCTTTAGTGGTTGGTGTATAAATTTGAAGATTAGTAGCATTAACTGTTCTTCCTCATAGGTATATGGATATTATCCTATCACATACAGCACTGTACTTTAAGATAGACCTTGAAATGTTGTTTTTAATGAATAATGCAATGCCATTCATCTTCAATTTGTCACTCCAGGCATAGCAAAGCATATGATTGTCAAATTCAAAATGGTCAATACCATTCCAGTTCAGTTCACTGATGCTATGACATCGATCTTCATGTATTCTCTTTCATTTTTGACAGCTTTCAGTTCTCCTAGATCACACTAGGTACATTCCATGTTCAAATTATTAATGGATGTTTGTACTTGTTTCTCCTCATTTTGAGCTGTACCCCATCAGCAACTGAAAGTCCCAAAAGTTTGACTCCATTTGTGTCAACACAGTCAACTCTACTTTGAGGAGGCAGTTCTTCTCCAGTAGACTTCTAAACTCCTTCTGAACTTAGGGCCTCATATTCCAGCACTATATCTGACAATATTCTGGGGCTAGTCATAACAATTTTATTTTCCAATACTATATCTGACAATGTTTCACTGTTATTCATAAGGCTGTCAGTGGCAAATCATTCTTTGAAGTAGTCTGTCTCTCCTTCTTCCTATTCTGTTTTACTCTGGAAGTTCAACTGAAACCAGTCCACCATGGGTGACCCTGGTGAAATTTAAAATACCAGTGGCATAGCTTCCAGCATCACAGTAACAACAAAAAAAATAGTATGACAAACTGACAGACATGTGGTTGCAAGGTCTACTTGTGATGTGCTGTGGTGTCGGCTCTGACTTGTAGCAACCCTATACAGGGTTTCCAAGGCTGTAAATCTTTATGGGAGCAGAAAACCTCATCTTTCTCCCATGGAACAGCTGGTAGTTTCGAACTACTGACTGGTGATTCTAATATGCAAAGCTCTGTACCTTTCTATATCCCCATCTTTCAGAATTACATGGAATGCATGATAAAATTGCTAATTCCCTGGTAAAGTACCATACAAACACTAATCTTTTAAGATCTAGTGTAAAAGGTAGGAATGCACTTTTTTTAAAAAAAACTTTTTGCTGTGAATTGGTGACTGTTTACAGAACAAATGAGTACTCCATTCAACAATTCAGTACATTTTGTTTCATATCATTGATTGCAACCCCCACAATGAAACAAGTACCTGTGATAATTCTCAAGCAGGTGTTTTCTAGAACTCGCTCTGAAAAATTATTCTCTCTGTTTCAATTCTGCCCTTCACGCCAAGTTGTCCTACACATTAGTGCTAAATAAGTAGAGCTGGTTTCTTAACAGATTACCACCAGGTCAACAGTTCAAGCCCACCAGATGCTTTCAGGTCAAAGATAAGGTTATCTGCTCCCATAAAGACTGACAGTCTCAGGAACCCCACAGAGCAGTTCTACCCTGCCCTTTGGAGGCCATTATGAGTTGGAATTAACTTGACAACAGTGGGTTAGGGTCTTTTGTTTTTCACGCCAGATGATAATTCTTTAATGGCAGTATTATTTTCCTTCTCTATTCAGAATCCTTTCATATTTTCTAGTTTACAATCAACTTAAACATAACTCCTCTGTCTTTAAAGCACAACATTCTTCAAATTAAAATGTCTTTCTGTTTGTCCCTAACAATCCTTCGTCATAGAGACCTGGTAGTCCAATGGTTCAAGCCCACAAAGCAGCTTGAAGAGAGGAAGACCTGTCTTCTATAAAGATTACCATCAAGAATATCCTCTGTCAAATGGAGTCACTGTGAGTCAGAACCTGCTTGATGGCACCTAACATCAACTACAATCCTTCCCCATGATATGATATGCATCATCTTCCCTGTGTGCCTCACACACCTCATTTCTTTTTTCACTCTGTAACTATATTTAAGGTAATGTCAAGCCCCTTACCTCTCCTTAATTGCATCTCATCAGCGATGGTCTTTCCATCTCTGGATTATAGCTCCTTTGATGGAGAGCTTTCACGATTCTAATTCCTTTTCTAATCATAGTTAACTAGTATCTTTTTAAAAGAAATATCTACCTACACTTCTAGACTGACATTGGAACAAATTCTTTTTTCAAGATGTGAGGATTTTGTTGACACCAAGTATGTGCTTTTGACTAAATAAGATAGATTGTACATTTGGCACTATTTGGGCAGAGCTGACAGGATTTAGAGCTAGTTGGTGGTTCCATATTTTAGCTTCATTTTACATAAGTTAATATTTAAAAAAAAAAAAATAAATGTCAGCTGTCCTTTAATTATTCCTCTCAGTAAATGCACTTGGAACGAAAGGTGAACAAATACTCTGAAACAGTAAATAAAAGTCTATGTGTATAAACTCAGTCAGGCAAGAACAAATCATCTGTCTCTGAAACCACAGAGCAGGAGCTTACACCTAATGAAGGGAACCAAGTGAGTAAATGTCAAATGGGGGGTGAGCGCTCATTTGATATTTCCTCACTTGTGACTAATCAAGCCCAGATGTGACATGAGCTAGGGACCTACAGTGTACTCTCCAGGTGTCAGTCTTTGGCTGTGCAGCAGAAGGAGAATGTCAAGTTGCTGAGTTTTTTGACATCAAACTGGTACCAAAGCCAACAGATTTTTGTATGGCCTGTCTTGATACTGACTGCATACTCAATCTTCATTTCCAATGGGAACCCATGTAGCTCCACCCTTGAAAAAAGATGCTGTCCCTACATATGTTAAAAAATCAAAAAAGTACATCAAGGATTTCAAGATGTCTAATGCAACCTGTGCCATAGTATTATGCCTACAGGGAAAACTGTAATAGAAACCTACTCTCTAACGCTACTACTATGATCTTAAAACAATATACAGTCACAAGAGGTATTTTGGTATTATCCTTGTACTCCCACAATCCCAGGCTGTTAAGTTAACAGTGAGGAATCTGAAGGCTAACTTGCTTATTTTCTCTAACAGATGGACATTTTTTTTAAGGAGTAGAACTAGGGAAGCTTGAAAAAGATGAAAAGGCTTTCTAATTTTGCAAAAATAAATGATCTTAATGTCAGTAACATTTCTCAGAACCATCGTTGTCAAAAATCATCAATTTTATTTATATTCACTCAAATATTGTTGTTAAATGTTGAGCCACTGCTGAGTTTGAACTGCTGACCTTGTGGTTTAAACTGACCTTGCAGTCGAACGCTAATCCTACAATGTTACACCATAGTTCAAATATTATACAACTCAAATAATAGATGTGTAAATGTGGTGAGATGTATGGTAATTCTTACTTTAAGATGCCTGACCTTATCAAGAACAATCATATGTATACACAAAACGCTCTACAATGGTTTACATGGAGATTTCTTTAATGTAATGTTTCCTATGACTTTTTAAATGTTTTATGATCCCACTTTGGTTTATAATTAGATTCCCAATTTAATGGGCACATCACTTGGTATTTAAGAATTGTTGATATTTTGGGGCAAGGAATCTGTCTTCTGAATCATTCAAACTTTATTTCCTGACAGATACTAAAAACACTTTAAAAATTTAGCTTCTGATTCATTTTCAGCATCAAATTCATTCAACACTATTTGGAGCTAACTATATTATATTACAAAACCTATACAATAGTTGGAACTGCAAAAATTAGAAATGCACATCCAAACTTTTGAATAATCTGTCAGAAATGTAGGACTTATATTTGACGGGGCTAAGACTTACCTTTCACTAACTGCTTTCTATGGTCAAAAATATCAAATGGTGTAGAGGGCTACATTGTTGTTGTTGAGTTGGTTCCGATTCATCGTGACCCTGTATGGGGTTTCTGAGGAGCAGCTGGTGACTTTGAATCACTGACCCCACAGTGCAAACTGGCCTTGCAATTCAGTGCTTATCCTACAGTGCCACATCAACATGGATTACTAGCTAGGCTGCTAACTACAAGATCGGCAGTCTGAAAGCACCTACCACTGCTGGAGAGAAAGACGAGACTTTCTGCTTCCAAAAATGTTTGTAGCCTCAGAAGCCTCATACAGGATCACTATGAGGTCACTCAATAGCTCATAACAACAACAACAAATACATTCTCAAAACTGAGTCCTTTATCTTCATGCCCATCACTGTGACTCAAGCTGTCCCTCATTCTCTTATAAACTACTTCAAATCACAAGGTCAGCTGTTCAAACCTACTTGCTGCCCCTCAGAAACCTTATATAGGGTGGCTATGAGCCAGAATCAAATTCACAGCACTTAGTAACAACAACAACATGGACTGTCAAAAGAACAAACCAAACTGTGTGGGAAGATGTGCAGTCAGAATGTTCCATAGAAGCCAGGATGGCCAGACTTTGTCTCTCACGTTGTTTGTTGTTATTGTTAAATGCCATTGAGTCAATTCTGACTCATAACATCCCTGTATAGGATATCCAAGGAGCAGCTGGTAAGCTTGAACTGATGACCTTGTGGTTTATAATGAACTTCTGGTCAAGTGCTTTATACTACAGTGCCATACCAGGACTCCTCATCTTTCATACTTTGCACATAGTATCGGGAGGGACTAGTCCCTGGAAAAGGATATCATGTTTGGTAAAGTGGAGGGTCAGAAGAAGACCACCAAGATAATGCACTGGAGTACAAACAAGGTTGGGAGCTCTACCTTGGAAATCCTGTACAGGGTTGCTATGAGTCAGAACTGACTCAATGGCAGTAAACAACAACTCTCTTTTAGTCCATTCATTACACTGTATCAATAGTGACATTGTATAATATGCCAATTTTATCATATTACCATTCTTCTTAAGAACTCTCAGATAAAGAAAAACTTCCTTAACATGTACTAAAATGATTTGCAAATCTGGCCCCCACAACTTCTCCATCTTCACCTTGTACCCTATTTCTCCTTCATCCTCTTGCTCCAACCACATTGACTTATCTTCAACCTGCCGTGCAGTCACGCATGAAGGCTTTTGCTCTCGCTTCCAATTTTTCAGGCCCCTGCTAGCTAAGTACTCATTTCTAAAAAGATCATTTCTCTAATTATACGAACTCAAGGCACCCTTCTTTGTAGCATCTCTCTAAGATGCAATTTTATTAACTATTTTAATATCTATCTCTCCTATTAGATACTAGGCTACCTGAGAGCAGTGGACTGTGTAGTTGTGTTCATCACTGTATCTCAACTTACAGGGACCCCCGTGTGTGTTACAGTAGAACTGTGCTCCACAAGGTTTTCTTTTCTTTTCTTTTCTTTCCTATAAGATATTCAATGACTGAGGTGATCACCAGCCCATCCTTCCCAGTTGCCTCTGGGTTGACTTGAACCTCCAACTTATTGATTAGTATCAAGCACTTTAGTACTGTAACTATTTGCATCTCTCACAGAAGGGCTCAGCACATACTATGACAGTGGCATGCTACGTATTAGTAAACACTATGGAGTCCTGGTGGGCTGCTGTGGGCTAATGCATCAAACTGCAAAGCCGTTTGAACTGCAAGGTCAGTGGTTGAAGCTCACCAGCTGCTCCTTGGAAACCCTATACCAGGTTGCTATGGGTCGGAATCGACTCAACGGCACTTAACAACAACAACAACATGACTTCTTTAATTAATCACACATGGTATTCATCAGCTTTGGGAGGTATTCATCAGCTTTGGGACTGTGGTTTATGTCAAATGGCTTGATTCAAGCTCACCACTAGTAAAATGAGTAAGAGAGCCCAAAGCAACTTACCACAGTCGGCTTCATCAGTATTATCACCACAGTCATCCACCAGATCACATAATCGAAGTTTTTCTACACAAGCCTTGGTGTGTCTGCACCAGAAACGATCTGATCCTTCACAGCTCTCAGCAGGAAGAGGAAGAGAACAATTCTCAAACCTGATGTCATCAATAGCAGAGACTCCATCATAAATGCCAAGACTCACTTTATCTAGCGACAAATGGAAAGGTTGAGTCAGGCGCCCAAGCTGAATGATGGCTTCTGACCATTGGTTGCCCTGATTGTATAAGACTCTCCAGAGGACTGTGGAGTCTCCGGATTTTCCCACGTGCAGTTGCAGTTCAGCTGCTCCCACCGACAAGCCATAGTTATAAAACCTGGAAAAGAGAACCCACAAGAAATGAAAGTCATTCATGGAATATACTAAATACTTAACTTTTGGACTCATCCAGTCAGCTAACAATTAATAATTAGTCATCATGAATGACTTCTTTATTCCCTACAGCAATTGTGGTTGCCCCTTTGTAAGAGCTTATCTGCTGAGGTGCACACTCCAGTTCTCAGGGCACTGGGAATCTTCCTCAAGGAGTTCTGTATACAACAGAGGAAGCAGTCTTAATTAAATTAAAATCCACAGTTTGAGGAAAACAGTCCCTTTCATCTTAAGAAATGAGCATAACAAATACTGTTAACAAGCACCAAAGCAAAATGCTAATTGTGTGAATATAATAGGATAGCTATTTTTAAAGGAAAGCCAGGGGCCAACTACAACTGCTAATAAGTGCTAGAAGATGCCTGGACTGAAGTTTTCTGCTCAAATTGTCTGTGTGGCACAAAGGAGATGTTTTATGTGCTGTACATTTTCTCTAGGGGAAAAAAAAAAAAAAAGCATTTGTAGACCAATTGTCACTGACAGCCTTTCGAAAAATATATCCAATTAAATTTAACACGTTTACCCAAAAGGTAAACACAAAAAAATAAAGATCTGCTTTATCAGCATTCCCATGTTTTATCAAGACATAAAGCAGAGCATGGAGAAAGGAAATCTATGCTTGATAAGGTAGTTCTAGTCCTGGTATAAGGAGCTCTGGTAGCGTAGTGATTACGAATTGGGCTGCGAACCTTAAGGTCAGCGGTTCGAAACTACCAGCTGCTCCGCGGGAGAAAGATGAGGCTTTCTACTCCCGTAAAGATTTACACCCTCGGAAACCCTGTACAGGGTCGCTATGGGTTGGAACCGACTCAACGGCACTTAACAACAAGAAGTCCTGGCATGGTGCTGTGGGTTAATGCAATGGACTGCAAAGTCGGTTTGAATCACAACGTTGGTGGTTCAAGCTCACCAGTCCCTCCTCAGAAACCCTATGCGGAGTCATTATGGGTCAGAACTGACTTGAAGGCACTTAACAAACATCCTTTCTAGGAGGAGACCTGGTGGAGTAATGGTTTAGCAGTAGGGCTGTTAAACAAAAGGTCAGCCATTCAAATCTACCAACTGTTCCACAGGAGGAAGATGAGGCTTTCATTTACAACCTCAGAAACCACACACAGGGTCTCTGTTAGTCAGAACCAACTTGATGGTACATGATCACCCATCCTTTCTAGAGACTCCAAATGTCCTGCTAGACCTCAAAAGAAACATGTCTCTGGCAGGTTTCCATCTCCCCAAACATTACTTCCAAATTTTCCACACCTGGGTTTTTAGCATCTGGTAAGATGTTTATGTACAACACATTATTTGAAGGAGAAAGTATAGATAGAAACATAATTATCATTATTATTATATCACTATTAACATGTTATTAGTTAGCAGCCGCAGTATAAGTGCAACATTGAAACAGAAGTGAGACTGTGCTCATCCCCTAATATATAATCCCTGGGTAATCAGCCTGCATTTATAATATTTACCAGAAAGAGAGTGTACATTCAGGTCCTGTCTGGCTGAAAGTTGGGCTCTGGAGTTTAGCAATTTGGGAGAAACTGCTGCTTTTCTTCAGAATGAACATAAAATGCCCTATTAGGATATAAAAACAGAACATTAGTTAACCTACTGGAATTTAAAAAGTGACGCATCTCTTTTACCCCTACACTGAGGAAATTCTCATGCCCAACTTAACTCTACAATTAACACCACATAAAAGTAAAATAAATAAATAAAAATCAATGGAAATGAATGTTACTCAAATGAACTCTTAAAGACACAACAATATCATCTATATCTAGGCCAAAGTAAGGCCTAAAACAATTGATTGATTTGGTTAATTGCATAAAAATACTTCTCAATACTCTCTCCTTACTACTCATAATAGAATTATTCCTTACAGACTGTAATTAGCAATCTAGAACTGTCCTACTAATAACTTCCAATGCTTCTCTTTCCCTTCCCAGGCCAAATTGAGCAGTCTAGAAGCAGCTAGAGATGGCCTCTGCTCACTTCTTACCTTGGGCTGTGCTGTGAGTGTGATCTCCAGGTGGAGCCTGTTGTTCAAAATCAGCAGAAAGGTCATTTCTGGAGCTCCATGTCCAGTCAAAATGGTCACCACCAATGGCTTCAAACCAACCACAGCTATTTTCTTCAAAATCACATTTGGAGACTGAAGAAGAAAACATGTGGTTCTTACCTAGATTTTTCCAAAATAGTCACACATTTTAAGAAGGATAAAGCACTGAATTAGAAATCACATTATTTTTGCTTTCAGAATCGACTGGACGGACGGCACTTAACAGCAAACAACAAGTACATCATGGAACACATTAGAAGAAAAAGATGGTGTCGGAAACAATGGGTTTGTGAATTTCATACTGTGAAATTGTGAATTAGTAAGGCAGAATTCTCAATTTAAGAAATGAAAAAATCTTTGTAATAGTCTAAGAAAGAACATCATTCACTTATATTATTTAAAGAATTGTCACAGTTCACCTAATTCATTGTTACTCACGTGTGTTACATCAGCTGGAAAGTTGAATTGTTCCTAGAGAGTATTTGAAATCCTGGTGTGACACTTCAGGATAATGTACAAGACCTCAAGGTTGGTTTGAACCACAAGGTTGGTGGTTCAAACTCACCTGCCTCTCCTTGGAAACTCTATACAGGGTTGCTATGAGTTGGAACCAACTCAAGGGCACTTAACAATAACAACAACATAGAGTATTTAACACTAAACTGTGCAATGTTGAATCTTGTTATGGACTGAATTGGATCCTTCAAAAAGATGTGTTGAAGAGCTAACTACTGTATCAGTGCATGGTGAACATGGGTTTTTCTTTGCCAATGTTATCAGTTAAAAATATCACGCAGGAGAAAATTAATCATACAGGAGTAAATTAATCCTCAGCCTTATCCCTCTGAGAAGCATCAGCCTAATCCCTCCGAGAAGCATTTTAGAAAAGAGGGCAGACACAGAAAGAGAGCCACACACCCTGGGGGACGGTAGCATGTGAGGATCTGTTTACAAGCTAAGGACCACCAATAGATGCTGAGTGCTAAAGAGGCAAAGGAGAAACATCCCTCAGAGCCAAAAGAGAGCATGGAAGTGCTGGGAATTGAGACTTCATTCCTCCAGAAACTGGAAAAAACAAACTTCTGTTATTGAAAGCCACTGACCTGTGGTATTTTTGTCAAGGTAACCCTAGGAAACTAAAGCACTTGTACCAACAATCAACAGCTAATATTTGAAAAATTCTATAAGCATCATATGGAGTCCTGGTGTGGTGCTGTAGGTAGAATAACGCGTCAAGACTACAAAGCCCTTTGAACTGCGAGGTTGGTGGTTCAAGCTCACTAGCTGCTCCTCAGAAACCCTATACTGGGTCATTGTGGGTCAGAACCGACTCGATGGCACTTAACAACAACAACATAAGCATCATACTTCATATAATGCTCCCCTGGATGTGTATATTGTTGTTAAGGGCCATTAAGTCAGTTCCACCTCACAGGGACTTTGTGCACAACAGAATGAAACAATGCCCAGTCCTGTGCCATTCTCACAATCGTTGTTAAGTTTGAGCCCATTGCTGCCAATCCAACTCATTTTGGGTCTTACACTTTTTCGCTGACCTTCCATTAACCAAGCAAGGTGTCCTTCTACAGGAACTGGATCCTCCTGATAATATGTCCACAGTATGAGAGACGAAGTCTCACCGTCCTGGCTTTTAAAGAGCATTCTGCCTGTACTTCTTCCAACTCAGATTTGTTTGTTCTTCTACCAGTATATGGCATTTTTAATATTCTTACCACCACCAAAACTCAAATGCATCAGTTCTAGGGTCTTCCTTTTTCAGTGTCCAACTTTCACAAGCATGTGAAGCTACTGAAAATACCATAATTTGAATCCAGTGCACCATAGTCCTCAAACTATTATCTTTGCACTTTTACACTTTAAAGATGTCTTTGCACATATTTGCCTAATGCACTATATCATTTGATTTCTCAACCTGTGTTTCCATCAGTGTTGATTATGTAATCAGGCAAAATGAAGTTTTTGACAACTTCAATCTTTTCCCCATTTATCATTATGTAAACATCCAGTTGTGAGAAATTTTGTTTTCTTCACATTGAGGTACAAACCATATTGAAGTCTGTACTCTTTGATCTTTATTAGCAAGTATTTTAAATCCTTTCACTTCTGGCATGCAATGCCGTATCATATGCATATTACAGGTTGTCATGGAGTCTTCCTACAATCCTGATGTCACCTTCTTCTTTATATAGTCAAGCTTCTTGGATTATTTGCTCAACATACAGACTGGATGGTGAAAAGATACAACCCTGATACACACCTTTCCTTCTTTTAAAACATTTAGCATCCCCTTGTTTTGTTCTAACAACTGCCTCTTGGTCTGTGCATAGGTTCTTCATGAGCAAAATTAAGTGTCCTGGAATATCCATTCTTTGCATTATCATCCAGCTCTATGATTTCCACATTCTGTTGGGTATCCTGTTTGTGAAATGGGTACAAATAGGGATCTCTTCTAATGGTTGACCAAGTCTTCCAAATTTCTTGGAATAAATGAGTGAGTGCTTCTAGTGTTGCATCAGCTTGTTGAAAGATTTCAGTCTGTCTTCCATCAATTCCTAGAGTCTTGTTGTTTGTCAATGTCTTCAGTTCACCTCGGGTTTCCTTCTTTACTATTGACTGTTTAAGTACTAGTGTCTCTTGATCATGTGCTTTCTCTTGAAATTGTTGAACATTGACCTTTTTCTTTCTTTCTTTTTTTTTTTGTTCAGTGGCTCTGTATGTTCTTTCTATCTTCTTTTGATCCTCTCTGTATCATTCAATATTTTGCTCATAGAATGTTTCAATGTCTCAAGTTTAGTTTTAAATTTTTTCATTATTTTTTCAGCTTGAGAAATGCTCATCTTCCAGCACTGTATCTGGCAGTGTTATGCTAAGATCATTTAAGTTCTTGTATTTTAAAAATCATCTTTCTTTATATACAACACATAAATGGTCCATAGGAAACATAATCCATTCCAGGGATTTCAAGGTACATTGTTGTTGTTAAGTGCTGTCAAGTTGGTTCTGACCCATAGTGACCATGTGTAGGGTTTCCAAGGAGTGACTGGTGAGCTTGAACTACCAACCTTGCGGTTCAAAACAACTTTGCAGTCCAGCACATTAACCCACAGCACCATGTCATTTAAATCATCAGTCAAGGAACAGATGTTGATTCTTATTCCAAGCAATACAAAAAGCAAGATTGAGGAGTTTACTGTAAGCAAAAATAGAAAGAAAATAAGTTATTGCTACTGTATAATCTCTCTCTCACACAACTACCTTAAAGGGAACCTTATTATCTATTATCCAGAGAGACACTGTTGTGGAAACAAATGAATATTCTAATGTAATAAATTTTAGGAGTCTGTTGGAGCGATTCATTCCCATAGATAAATCCCAAGAAAGACAGTGATTGTAACAGATGATTACAAGATTAAAATTCAAATATATACTCATTTCTAATATGCTTTGTTCCTCTATGTTTATATACCTATGCACAGTTTTAACAGTCACCTCTGTTGGCTGAAGTCTTAATGTGGAGCTGTAGGATAAGCAATAGACTGTAATAGGAAGGTTGATATTTCAGAAACCCTATGCAGGGTCACTATGCAACAGAAACAACTTGATGGCACTTAAAAGCAACAAACATTGACTAAAGATGTAATAAGCAATGGAATTAGTCTACTAGCTAACTGTTAATCAAATATATACCTTTTAGAACAGCTTTTGAAAATTACACATAGGTAGTTACTGACCTATGAGGTATTTGAGCTATGACAAATTTTACTTAATGCCTATTTTTGTTTTTTGTTTTGTTTTTGTACATATCAATGTTAGTAAACGGAGTCCTGATGTAGTGCTGTAGGATAAGCACTGGACTGCTAACCAAAAGGTTGGCAGTTCGCATCCACCAGCTGCTCCTTGGAAACTCTACACCGGCTGGCCATCAATCATAATTGACTCTACAGTACTTAATAACAACAGTGTTAGTAAAAGAACTCTAGTGAGGCTGTAGGATACACACTGAACTCCTAAACACAAAGTCAGCACTTCAAATCCAACAGCCAATGTGTGGGGGTAAAAATGAGGCTTTCTCCTCCTGTAAAGATTCACAGCCTTGAAAACACAAACCTAACAAGGTTAATGATACGTAGTACGTACAATATTGCAGCATGCAATTTGCTGATGTTCACTTGCAGATGACTAAAGATTGGATTTATACAGATGCTGATAATAAATGTCAATAGGAATGAAAACTAAGAATAAAACTAAAAAGAAGATGTATTCCAGTTATGTCCAAATTAATTTGCCATAGAGTTCTCAAAACAGAATTTAGTCATAAATCAGGGATAATTGATATATTCTTTTTCTGGACATGTTTTAATGATCAATGTTAAAGGTTTTGCATGGATTTTGGAACGTCATTATCAACTTCACCAATTATCATCATCATCAGAATCATCATAATTTGCAGTAACAATTGCAGTTTTATTTAACTCAGAGTTGGTTGTATACTTCGTGCTTTTGCATTCACACAGCATGCCAGTAGACAAGGAATTCCTAAAATGTATGCTTCCATATCTGATGGCTATAAATAGAAAAGCTAGTGACTCTAAAGCTGTTTTTAATTATTGTTAGAAAAATTACTTAAGTGACCTCTCTTAGCTGGGTAAAGATAATTTTATTGACAGACAAATACATCCATTACCTACAGTATTAATGTTATTTTTAGAGCTCTTGACAGAGGTAAAGAAGGTAAATTTATAGTGTTGTTATTAAGTATTGTTGAGTCAGTTCTAACCCATAGTAATCCTGTATAGGGTTTCCAAGGAGTGGCTGGTGGGTTTCAACTGCTGACCTTAGAGTTCTAACTGACCTTGAAGTCCAGTGCATTATCTTGCAACACCACACCAGGACTCCACTAAATTTATGTAGAGGCCAACAAATCTTGTAAGAGAAAGGAATACAGAATCAGATTCCATATCATTTCAGATTCACTGTCAAAGCTCTATGATTGTTGTTGTTGTTAAGTGCCATCGAGTTGGTTCCAACCCATAATGACCCTGTATAGAGTTTCCAAGGAGCGGCTGGTGAGC